TTTAAGAATAATAAATATATATATATAAGTGTCAAAAAAGAATTGTTAATATATATGTTGTTAAAAATGACATGAAATTATTGAAATGTATAATAGTAGTTAATTTTAGTGTCATGAGTCCGTAAAATACCTAAATATAATTAATATTATCACACAAGTAGTTAATATTTACCACAATAATACTTATATAGAACTGCATTCATTATTATTAATCATTTGTACAGTAAATATATTAATCATATTTAATGTAGTTAACCATGTATCATCCGGATGGATGTTAGCTATAGGAGACATATTTCAATAATAAGTTAAGTTTTTCCTTTTTTTTTTCATCAGTATGATAATACATATTTTCTTTTCTTAGGTTATTTCTAATAGAGTTGCTTATAAGTAACTTCACTTGTTACATTAATTTTATTTTTTTTCTTTTTTCTTAAGAACTGGTGTTTATATAAACAATTTTAGTCAATTTTAAGTAACTCACTTGTTCTTTTTCATACTAATGTGATAAATAGGATTACTTATATATATGTTTAATAAATTTCTGTACGTATTTACGAGATTTCTTTTTTTTTTTTAGAATAGAGTACGAGGTTGGTTTCTTTTTAAGTTTTAATTTGGGTTTTAATTATCTAATTAAATAAAAAAATAATGGTTAAAAATATTTTATTGAGCAGACTAATTCAATTGACTCGATTCAAATTAGTCGAGACTTATAACATGATTTGTTATACCGACATTCTTGAGAAAGTAAGAAGAAAACAAAAACAAAAACAGCTGTCATATTTACTAGCTTAGTCGACAAATTGCATTGAAGCAGAAAAAGATAATACATCAACTTTAATAAGAGATCCCATTCGTGTCATGTGCGATTTATGAAAGTGGCCCACAAGTGTTACAATTAAGCTCCAATAGTAAATTTGGTATGTACTTTTTACCATTAATTTATTTCGTCAATTGTAGGTTTTACGTACATGCTATACTATTTTTATACCGTATGGTGGCCGAAACGCCCGAATACCCGAGATCGTTGACCGTATGGTGGCCGAAACGCCCGAATTCCCGAGATCATTGCTTATGTCGAGTACCTGAACCCGTCGACCACCCCTACATGAGGTGAAGCGGGTCGGCGGAGTCGGCCGAGTATGTCGACATCATCTAGATGGTTACGGAGAGATTAATTAATATAATGCACAGGATTAAACTCTTAATTTTCCGGGGCCCAGTCCCTAATTGCAGCCCAATAAGAACCACTATAAATAGGACCCCAACGAGGTATGTAATTAATTCTGAACTACCGCATTTATTACGCCGAGCACTAACTTGAGCGTCGGAGTGTCTTTGCAGGCACACCCCCCTTTCCCTCCTTCGGACCACCCGGATTGGAACAAGAAAACGGAGACCGAAGATCTGACCCGTCACAACGAAGATAATTGAAGTGTGTATCCTCAAACAGGAACATTTGGCGCCCACCGTGGGGCCGAGAAGACGTTTTCAGCCCCTTCCGAACTCTGCGACTGAGACCAAGACATGGTAGTAACCTGCAAAGGACAATCAACAGCAACTCAACTGATTCCTAATCCCGATACCAACCCCGTCATGACCAACCAAGAACGCTACCCGTATGGAATGCCTCAAACCGAACCTGAACCTCTGATACAAGAGGTCCGGCCGAACACTAACCGAGACCAACCTGACCTCCAAGATGACTTGCGTGCTTTACGAGAGGAAATGGCTGCTATCCGAAGGTCACTCAACCCACACCATACTAGGATTCGTATCATCCCTGATCATCCAGGAGTATGCTCGTCCCTGAAGCATCACCTACCCAGGGTTCGTATCATGCCTGATCATTCAGGAGTATGCTCGTCCTTGAAGCATGAGTGTGAGGAACCACAATCACATTACAATCCATACAGTCTCTTGCAATTAACCCTATGTTAGGGCTGTCATAATCGACATAAGTGGTGTGTGTTAACTGTCTTACTCATCCCACACCATGCTAGGGTCACGCCCTCCCTGTAGCACCACTTACCCAGGGGTCGTGCCATCCCTAGTCATTAGTGTGAGGAAACACATCGCAATCACATTCTTAATCATGTCCATACAACATCTCATCTCATATCACGATTTCATATCACATACACAATTCCATATCACATACTCAACAAAATAAGGGTTTACACATCCCTCCAGCAATTCACATCTAGATCATCAATTCTTATTAAATAATATAATAATAACATTCGTAAATTAATATAATAAACAATAGAATTATCAATTTAATATAATTTTAACATAAATAGTAAAATCCCCAATTGTCCCAAAACCTAGCTCACAGGCACTTTTCTACAATTTCGTTCTCTTTCCCAGATCATCATTCTTACAAATTATTAGCATATTTATAATCCTCAACACATACAGAATCTAATGAGATCCTCAATTCCTCAAAC